GATCAAGTGTTAATAAAGTCGTCTTTTAAAATACACAAACACTTAAAATAAATTGATACTCGCCAAATCGTATCCACGCCTCTGTTCCAGCCTAAAACCGACGTTACGCGAGATTTTTTGGTCTTTTAGCGACAGACTCGCCGTTGTTCGCCCACGACAATAGTATCACTAACGCTAAGTATAATACTGTACATATTAATAAGTAAACAGCCACATGCTTGCAATTGCATGATTGTTCAAGTACGTAACTAACGGATATCTGATTTTTTCTCACAATTCATATTATTATAATCTTTCGCTTTTAACGTACAGTTGTTCGAAATGATCGTGTGTAATATCGATACAATTGAGACGTATCATGGAGTTTGAAGAACATATAAGAAAAATGGAGTAGGGACTTGAAGAAGAAATGTTTCGGGCAGTGGAAGTTGTCGAGGAGAACAGTCGAGGAGAACAGGCGACGAGACGTTGAGTATCAGAGGTTAGTGGACCCTCCGTCATTACCGTTAATTCAGTCATACCTGAGTTATATCCCCACTGGGTTATATCCCAACCTGAGTTATATCCTTTGCTTCTAAGCAGAATAAATTTCCTTTTTTTATATGGTCCGTATATTGAATTATATCTCCACCCTAGTTACAACTCATAACGGTATAATAATGTGTTTTATGTTTTTGGTTAAGAATGTTAGAATAGAATCTAATTTTTATTTATTTATTTTATATTACATAAATATGTAAAAATAAATAACATAAAAATACACTTATTGTTTTTTTTTTATTATCTTATAATAATACAACATGTTGTCATTACCGTTGTCGCGATATCCATGTGACTAGTGTTTGGGTACGTGTTGATTGAATGTTGTGATCTAATTAATGCGTAATCCATATCGTGTGGTCACGATTTCATTAAAAGTTAAAATAATGATTGCATGAACGATGTACAGGTGCAAAATATGTAATAATCAGTGATGCAAATATGTATTTATTGATTAATATTTAAGGTATCGGGAAGTTCTTTGATCCGTAATTACCTTGAGACTCTCTTAGTGAATAAACGTCATAGGCAGACATTCGTATGATTGGCCGTTTAAATCAATTTAATTTTACATTATTTATACAGTTTAAAGTACGTTTTAAAAAAAAATAAAACTACTACGAATAAACAAAAAAGAAGTATATAGAAAGTTTTATTAGGGTTGTAGGACTCCACCATTAAAATAATCCAAATTCTTTTTTGTTTTAAAGAAGTTAGCATGGTGATAACCTAATTCTATCTATCGTTAAGATGTCGCTATTATACTAACTTCTCTAAACAAAAAAGAATTTTGATTATTTTTAATAGTGGAGTCCTACAACCCTAATTATATACTTCTTTTTTTGTTTATTCTAATTTTTTTTAAAATGTACTTTAAACTGTATAAATAATGTAAAATCAAATTGATTTAAACAGCCAATCATACGAATGTATGCCTATGAGAATAAACGGTTATCCGTGTGAATACATTATCGGTGATAGTATCTGGTAGTCATCGCATATATAGTAAAGGTCAACGAATACACGGTAGTCTAATAAATTCCATGAAATGAAGTTCTCTGGTCGCATTATTTATTTTTTCTTCCACCACGCAAAAATGATGTAACTATTACTCATTACCAAATTGTAACAATAGGGGGTTTCAAAGTTAAGATGCGGAAATCCAATTTTAATTGAAATTGATGACGTATTTATTTTGAAATAAGTGATCCGGCAATCTGATCTTATCTTCAACTTGAATGAAAGTTTTACTTTTTATTTATTTATTTTTTACGAAGTATTATAAAAATTTTCCGATTTCATGAAATGGGGATCTCCAAACACTCCCATTTCACTTTCCGATTTTAAAATCTTGAAAAACAAATAAGATTTTTCAAACTCTCATTTAATTTCAAAATGCGCCACTTGTTTGTTAACTTTGAAACCCCCCTAATGTTACTTCATATCGATACGGGGGCTTTAAATAATCATGATACTAATTTAGTTAGATGCCTAATTATACCAAAAAGGAAAAGTAATAAATTAAATCATTACAGTAACAAATACTGCCCGACTTTAACTCTTTGTTGTTAAATGGCTACAGAATTCTTTAAGAAACTTTCTGGCGATTTAACAAATCTTCTTGAAAATAGCGAAGATTATAATGTAACTATTGAAGTTGGTCAAACTTATGATCGTCAAATCTTTAAGGCGCACTCAGTTATTTTGAATTCTCGAAGTTCTTATCTTCGTAAAGAATTGACTAAGACAAGTTACGACAAAAAAAATGTTAAAAAAATCAGCCTATCACATATTTCTGCTAATATTTTCGAAGTTACTATTAAGTAAACTATAACGATAATTATCAAGCATATTTTAAATTTAAATTTACAATTATTTAGTGACTATTAAACGGTTTCCTTTTTAATTATATAGATATATCTATGGTGGTTTGGTTTTATTCGATAGAATCGATGCATCTGCAATCCTAGGCCTTTTGTCTACTGCTAATGAATTTGATCTTGAAGTTCCGCACAAGCACAATTGGTTATGAATCATGCTTCGTGGTACGTCTGAACTTTACTAAAGTTTATAAAATATGCTTTGAAAACGATGGTTTTAAAGTATTGCAAGAGTTTTGTAATGATATTATTGCTAGACATCCAATTATAGTTTTTGATTCAGAAGAATTTGGAAACCTTTCTGAAAAGGCTTTGGTCTCTCTTTTGAAACTCGACAACTTACAAATGGATGAAGGAAAAATTTGGGATCAAGTTATTAGATGGGAAATTACTCAAAACCCCAACTTGGACTCTAATCCAACGAATCATTGAGCCTAACATGTGGAAAAATCTTATGACAAAATTTGTAGCTCCAAATAAGGCTATTACTTCGATTATTTTGCCTCGTCGCATAATCTCAAATACCGAATTGCCACCAAGAAATAATGAAACTACAACGTTCGAAGCTAATATTTTGGAGGAAGAGTGTGAACCAACTATAGATAAGGGTAGGGAAATTTTAGAGGAAGAATATGAACCAACTATATATGGAGGTAGGGAAATTTTAGAGGAAGAATATGTGCAAACTATATACGGGGTTGGGGAAATTTTAGAGAAAGAATATGTACCAACTATATATGGGGGTAGGGAAATTTTAGAGGAAGAATATGAACCAACTATATATGGGGGTAAGAATGAGTTTTTTGATGATCGACAGGCGATTGACCAATCAATTTATGAAGCTTTAACGAAAAAAAACAAGAGAAAAAAATGCAAGAACTACAAAAAACAATTTAAATTTTAACCAAAAACGTGCGTATTTTCGATTATTTTTGCAGACCCTTTCATTTTTAGTAATTTGGGCTTGGTGTTGGAAAAAGGGACAAAAAAATTCTTCTCAAAAAAGTTAATTATCTCGCGAACTGTCGATCAGAATCACAATGTTTTGGGTCATACGAATACCAAATCATGTGATTCTTTGCAATAGTTCGCGAGTTATTTTTTGTAAATAATTTTTTTTTGTCAAGTTTGTCTCCTTTTCCAGCACCAAGCCCATTTGTTAAGAACTTGTTAAGATTTTTAGTAAACCTTGCCTACCTATAAATATTTTGTTGTCCTATTTTACCTATGTTAACAATAAAAGATAACGCAGTAATTAACAATATAGCATATACATTCTAAATTTTAATGTTTACATTTTGAAAATTAAAATATAAAGTGCACACCCTTAGTTAAAGAAAAAAGTGTACTCACCAAATTCATATGCAAAATAAAGAATGTTACTTTCATAATAAATGCCTAATAGTCCTAAAAACACATTCTCAATCTGTCGTTAGTAATCAAAAGGTTAGTTTCATTTTCCAAGTAATATTTTTAAAATTATTTGATAAATATTCATTTAAACTTCCATGAGACATACAAATGTAAATTATTCGTATTTGGATCTTGTGACACTCCATAACATTGAAACTAAATTCAGCATGATTGTAACAGGCTATTCTTCAGATAGTTATTCAGAACTATCCAGTTCTTTAAATTACAACTTTTAATGTCCAAAGCTATTTCTGCTTTGTACTTCTAATAAATGCCATATATTGAATAGATTCATATCTTCGTTGGACTAACTTACCCCATTGTCGTTTGATTCTTGTGCTGTATCCCTACGGGTTGTGGATACTTGATTTCCTTGTGTGTTGGTTCCAGGTGAATAAAGTAATGGATATGGGTCTTGGTAATCGGATGTTAAAGGTGAAAAAAAAGAAAGAAAAACAGAAAGAGGTGGAAACGATGCTAGAGAATCAGCTGTTGACCACGTGAGCAGCAAGATGAGATCCTATATAATGTATTTTGTAGTAGTGTTTGCACGATCGAGTGACAAAATATAATAAGATTGGAGTCTCTTTAAAAAAAAATTCTTAAAACCAACTAAAATTTACCAAAAAAATCTTGTAATATTGCCAAATTCTTCTCGACTCGGAAAATTAATAAAATTAAGAGATTTGAACTCTACAAATATAAATTTAATTATCTAAAAATTTTATATATAATTATTACTAAATAAAAATAACAAGGTTATTATTTTTCTAACTTTTTCCACCAATTTCAATCCAAATTAACAAATGCAAATGGTTTCTATTAATACAAGCTCAACCATATTTTTGAATTTGCATTACACCTTGGCCGCAAGATTGTTTCCTAGATAAATCCAACATATCTAAATATTGAAACTAGAAGTTTTTACTAATCAAGTAGAGGAGTCAACTTGTACATTATCAAGATTATCAAGATTGAGACGTCGATGCAATGCTGTTATAAATAGAGATGGGTTTCAAGCGTGCGCATGATTCCTTAATCATGCGCATTAATGCGCATTCATGCGCATGTTTTGGTATCATGCACATTTTATCTCATCTAAATTTTATATAGGAAAATTAAAGTATATATAATTTAGGCCAGGGAGCGTATTTTCGTGTGGAATTAAGGAATATGAATGCGAAAGCCTCGAAAATTCCAAAAAGAAAAATGAATGGATATAAAAGAAGAGCATGATTGGAGTAAAAATTTGAGCACCTATCCGATATTTTTGAAGAAAAATATTAATCCAAAAATTTATATCATGCGATATCATGCGCATTTTATACAAAGTGCGCATTAATGCACGTTTATGTGCATGTTATTATTAAATGTGCATTTTTCCCATCACTAGTTATAAATGGAAAAATAATATTAGTTTCATATTGTAGATACATTTCATCAAAAAATTCATTTAATATATTTACATTGTAGGTCTGCAAAAACAGTCTTATCTCCAATTCTAGGACAGTTTAAATCTGCCAAAGAAGATGCAAAGGCACATTCCATGAAGACATTCATAATCACCTTTGTCTTTGATAGATTTAATGTTCATAATTCTCCAAAGTCTAAAACATTAATTGCATGAATGAATACTTGTTTTTGTAAAGCACTAAATAAATAAATAAGTGATTAAACCTTTAGAGAGAGTAAGATACAATCCAGATTTGACAGCTCAAGTTATTCGAGATACTGTAAATCTGTAAATTTACATTGTAATAATATTAATAAATAGACTACTTTTATTTTAAAAGGTTGATAAAAAATTTTTTTACCTTGTAAACAGCTGAGCCATTATTAGCAATCAACTCACAAGTACATATACTACTGAGGAAATTTGGGCATCACTAACTATGAATCACACGCTTAGAAATTGTCTAGTATGACATTCTGCAAATTGTTATAGACAATTAGACTATTAATTTTAATTAATTTATAATAATCTATCTTTGAATGATACTTGATGAAAAAAATATATATACAATTGAATACAATCACATATAACCTACAAATGTTTTATTATAGAGAGAGTAATAAAGAAATTAATAAATCCAAAGATCTAATTAAAAATGATTTTACTTGTTAAGTTTTATCAATTCATTAACTATTGCGGATCATAATAAAATCGGATTAGGTTTCTATTTAACTCTCTAAAACTCACTTGTTTATTATAAATTTTAAAACTAACCTTCAACCCTAATCCCTAACTTTAAAATTTTATTTTACATTGTACAAATTTCATTTTAATCTATCTAATACCATGTTCACAGGCTGTAATCATTAACAGAAGTAGAACATCTTTTTTCAAAATTTTTTAAAAATTAGATTCAAATTTTTAAATTTTGCTTAATATTATAGAAAAAAGTTCTTTATCATTTGAAATACTCTGGTCTTTTAATATTGGTTTGTAAGGGTGTTCTCAAGTGCCTTAGTCAATTGATCGGAATAGGTCGGGGGCAAATTTTAATTAATAAAAAATTGGGTTTCCGAATCAATTGTATTTATTATTCCAATG